TTAAAACAATGGTGGAGATTCTCTGCCCTCTTGTGGTCGAATCATAAAAAGAGAAACTATGGCACCACTGAGTGTTTTTCCACAACCCTGAAACGTATTTACATTATATGACAACATCAGCTGCAAACAAATGATGCCAGACCTTTAAGAAGAACTAAAACTTAGTAGGTGAAATATTGCCCAATGTTAACATAAATATGTATTTGAGAAAAATAATGAATTTTCAGTGTTGGGGAAAGAAAGTAATGCATTACAATATTGAGTTACTCCCCACAAAAGTTACTTAGTTGCGTTACTTAGTTTTTAATAGTAATTAATTTGTTACGTTACTTTGAGTTACTGTTCAAAATAATGAACACATTCTCTTACTGACTGCGTGATTTATTGTGACTAATTTAAATTCAGCAATTTATTTTTTATAATCTAATTATATAAATTAAAAAGCAAATTGCGTTACATTTTCAAAAAAGTAACTCAAATATTATTGCTCATTTTTAAAAAGTAATGCGTTACTTTACTCGTTACTTAGAAAAGTTATAAAATTACATAACTCGCATTGCTTATGCGTAACCCCAACCCTGCTCATATTAAAAAAAAAAAAAAAAAAAAAAAAGAGACGACATTTTATTTTCTCATTAGTGTCGTCTTGTGGTATTGTATAGAAAAGAACGAAATAAAAGTAAAAGTAATATTTATCAAACAAAAAAGGTAAGTTACTTACATCTGTATTTGCCATATTGGGCTTTTTTAATATTGCACTTAGTTGACGTAAGTGTACATAATGTAGCAATTAAAATATAATGCAATACTAATATTAACATTCGCACACATATTCATACACACACACCCACGCATTTGTACACAACCCTCTTTAGGCCAAAATGTTGGCCAAACAACATAATGGTTATAATAACAAGAAAACAAATAGCAGCACCGATTCAGTTAAAAACATGTGGAACAGCATAATAAAACAGTAAGTTCATGTCATCTTTTTGGTCTAAAATCATTCGAAACTTTGATCTTTGAAACTAGCATTGCATGTTCTTCATAAACACAATAGATATACTATTTGATTTTAGGAGCTGAGAATCACTCGTTATTCTTGGATTTGCTCTTTTGTGATGATTTTTTCCCAGAAAGCCCAGAACAAGAAAAAAAAAGATCCCTTTTTAACCTGCTGCTGCTGGTTGAGAGATGTAAAAAAACACAAACGTTTCATTCGTTCAGTCAGTCAAAAGTTCAGCAAATTCTTCCAGACAGTAAAAGTTTTGAGTTTTAATGAGGACTACAAAAAATAAATAGATAAATGAGTGGAAACAAATCACCTTCCTGAAACTCTCTTCCTGCATATACATAAATTCATTTAATACGTTGTGTATAAATAGTCGTTTATACTCCTGCATTTCAAGTCAAATGTGAGTTGAAGTACTATAACCATAATAATGAGACAAGCTATTAAAGGATGAACAGTTGTGCGCAATCTTGTAACTTTTTTAATGTGCATTTCCATTCACCTTTAGGGGGCGTACAGACATGATGTGTTTTCATTCAGCTATACAGGATGATTTTTCGGTTGTACATGAAATCTTTATAGAAAAATAATTTTAAAACCATTCATCTGAACATTAATCAGAAAAACACCTCTTATAATTATGGACAGATGAGATGGACTGATGAAAGTTTCTATTGTTTTGATCATATAATGTGTATTTAAAACACAAATAGCTCCATTCAACTACATGGTTTGGTGTACATTTTCTTTCTAAGCTTTTTATTTTGTACTTAATATGCTTATTTTAAATTAGATAATAATCTCACAATTTGGATATTTTTCCCACATTTTTAATATTTTAGCTGATTCGATGTTTTTGCAATCTAATACAACTGTGAGAATTGTGAAATGGAAACTGGGAGTAAATATTCACAGTTTATATCTCACACTTCTTCAACTTCAAGAGAAGCAAAGTTATTATTAATATATGTGCCTAAAATGAGAAAACTTGGGTTAATTTGGGAAAATACTGCCAAATCTTTGAAAATATACAGGTCAAAAGTTTGGGGTCAGTAAGATTTTTAAATGTTAAAATAAGCTTCTGCTCACCAAGGCTGCATTTATTTCATCAAAAATACAGTACAAACTGTAAAATTGTGAAATGTTATTGCACTATAAAATAACTGTTCCATGTAGTTTATAATTTAATTTAATAATTTATTCCAGTGAGTCACATGATCCTTCAGAAATCACTCTATTATTATTATTATTATTATTATTATTATTATTATTATTATTATTATTATTATCATCATTATTATTAATGGTAATAGTAATCAAAGCAATTTGACTGGAGTAGTAATTTAATTTGAAACTACATACAATAAGAAAGTTATTTAAAATTGTAATAAATATTTAACAATTTAACGTTTTTACATTTAATAAATGGCACCTCAATAAACAGAATAATTTTCTGGAGAAAAAAAAAATGATAAAAAAATGATCCTAAACTTTTGACCAGTAGTGTATGTTTTTTTACAAAATTAGAAGGGAAAGAATTGCAAGATATAAACTTTTTAAAGTAAAGAAAAATCTATATTTTGCAATTGGCCCATATTTTCTTAGAACTGCAACTTTATTTCATGCAGCAGTAAGATTATTGGCTTTCTCTCCCATCTGATTGCATTTCTCGCAATACTTGTACAGACTGACTACTGTATATCAAAGATCAGGTTCTTGTTTTGGTGGCGTCTACAAACTCTGGATTGTACAACACATCTCTGAAAAAACTATCAGAGTCTTCAGATTCTCAGTACAGACTGTCTCCAGGCTGCAAGTTTGCGTCTTACAAAGAGACAGAGAGAAAGTTTGAGTGTCTACAGAGAATCAGCAGCAACAGTTAAAAACTTGTCAGCACTTTTTTCTGCTCTCTTTGTCAAGCTGTTTTTGAATGCAAGAAAACATCTTGAATGTACACCCCTCACTGTGCAAGCATTGTTACCTTTACAAAACTCTGTGGTGCCGTATTTGTTGCTCCACCATGATGATGTTGTTGGCGAATAAGCACAGATTTACCTTTTCAGCAGTTGTTGGATTTCAGTCTATATGTACATCACAGTCTTCATTGCAAAGGATTTAGCTGAAATCTAGAGTAAACCACACTGGGGGGAAATATCTTGATCAGTATTTTTGTCATGATTTACAGTAAGAGTATACTAAGCAGCACTCAAACAACATAATAGCTAAATGTGCTAAATGAGTAAAAGTTAAAAGGGTAGTTACTGAAAAACTGATTTTCACAACTGAAAAAACTCTTTGCATTTACTCATTCATTTAAGGTAAGTGGTTGCAAACAATTTACATGGGCTGAATTTAAACAAACTAGTTAAGTTTAATAACAGTTTATAAGAACTAAACACTATAAATCATCTATTAAGCATTAGCAAATAGTGAATTCATTTTTTGTTAAATATTAACTCTACATTAATAGACGCTAGTGAGCAGTTTATAACTGCAGATTCAAATGCTGAATTACTAAATTACTAATTACTAAATTAAGTACTGTGTTACTTACAAATCATTTCTATTCAAGAGTAGTTTTTTTACTAATAATGTACTAATAATACATTTTTATGTTAATAAATGCTTTATTAACTCAACTTCCTGCGTTTTTGTGACCTAATCTAAAGTGAGGACTATTAATGCTTTATAAATCCCTAATAAATAAAAATGAAAGGCTCAGTATCAAATGAATAATACATCTTTGCAATCTTATCTAAAAAGTTAAATTACTGTAAAGTTTAAGCATTGCTGATTAGACCTCACTTTAGATTAGGTCACAAATTAAAGTTAATAAAACATTTATTAACATAAAAGTAAATATCAGTAAATGCCTAAATAATCAGACATATAAATGTTAATTTGAATAGTTTATATATCATTTACTAACTCATTCTGAATAGTCTTTAACAACCAGCAACTACTCTCAAATAACTAGTTTGAAAATAATGCAATTCTTAATTTAGTATTGAAAATAATAATTAACAAAATAAATAAAACACGATCATTAAGCACATTATAAATGTTCTTATAAGTCAAGAATACAGCATTTGTATCTGCAGTTATAAACTGTTTACTAGCGTCTATTAATGTAGAGTTAATACTTAACAGATAATGAATTAACTATTTGTCAATGCTAAATAGATTATTAGTGTGTAGTTATTATAAAGTGTTACAAAAAAAACTTGTTTAAATTGAGCACAAATAAATTATTTGCAACTGAATTAATCTTATGAATCATTTTTAAGTGCTTTATTTAGCACATCAAATTATGAAATTTTGTGTTTGTGCAAAGTATTACCAAGCAAATATATGGGGTCAGTTTGATTGCTTTTAAGAATCAGGGTTTTGGGTTTTATGTAAAATGAAAATGGAAACTTTGATAGTAAAGACATGTATAATGTTGTTCTTGGCAATTGCAATAAACAATAAGATGCTTTTCATTCATAAAAAAAAAAAAAACTATTACAACTGTGGGTCATCTGAACTTTTCATGAAAAAAAAAATGTAAATATCAGTAATTATAAATTGTAATATTTAATTTTTTTATCATATAAAATAAATCCAGTCTATTGATGCTAATGATTATTCACTTTCAAACACTATTCACTATTGTCTCTTCAAATTAAAATACTTACCCAGTTGTTTTGTTGTTGTTGGTTTAAAAATCACAGATGTGAAATAATTTATTGTACTGGTGCTCAAAAATACAAAACTGGGGTGTGAATTACTGAAAACCATGACAAAAATACTGCTTAAGACAGTTATTTAAATTAAAATGTTTAGTTTTTTATTTATTTGTTGTCTGTTTGATGGTGTATTTATTTAAAGAGGACCAACAACAAAAAATATCTCAAAGTATGCCTACTAAACTGAGTCCACCTCTTCCTCGAGTTTACGCTCTCCATGTTCCAGTACTTGTTTGTTTGTTTTGTTTTTTCAAGTGGCATCACCAACGGACCACTTGGCTGGCGTAGTCCTCAGTGGTGGTGACCCTAGTTTGGTTTTCCACAATGGGCTCTTTGCTCTGGTTGACTCTGCGCTCTCTAATCCACCGTCTCTCTTCTCTTCTCTTCAATCTCTCCTCCTGCCGCTCGCGCTGACGGACGAACTGATATCTCTGCAGAAAGAGGTCTTTGGCGAACTCATACAGCTGCATATCCAGCATATTGAGTTGCTCTATCCGGCTGCGCATGTTGTCCCGCAGCTCCACATTAGCGGCCCGCGTGCTGTTGATCTGGGTGAAGGCGGAAATGAAGCGCAGGTGGAAAGTGCGCTCGAACAGGTACTGCGTCTTGCGTTGAAACTCGGTCAGGCCGTAGAAAGCCATGTTTTTGAGGTTACTCTTAGCGCTGGCTAGGAGAATGGGGTTTCGCTCGCTCTCGTTCATGGTGGAGAGGTTGTAGCAACCCACCAGGCTGAGGTCAGCCAGCATGCGCACCTGCCTGTTGTTGGCAAGGTTTGAAGGGCAGTCCATGAAGTCGTGTAGGGTGACCCCCGACCAGTCGTCACCGTTGTAGCAGGTGGGCAGCTCGTCCTGTGTGGGCGAACGGCCGTCGCACATGTGGAGCGAGGTCTTCCAGGTGGCTCCGCGCTGCACGTGCTTCCATTCGCTCAGGTAGCGGGACACTGGGTCTCGCAGCATGGTGATGTAGTAGAAGTTCCTGAAAGGAGAATCACAGTCAATTACTTAAGATGTTTTGTGCTTTCACTGCATCAAGTTCATTCACTCATAAAATTGCTTGCTCGGTGAAACTTTTGTTTAGGTCTATAAAACAAGACACGTTCATTTAAAGTCCCACAGTCTCTGAATTATCTGGTTCAGGATTAGGCCTTATAGTAACTTAGGAACTACAGGATTCAGTGGCCCTGCTGGAGGAGGGTTGGACACCTCTGATATGATGAACCAAATTTATGTAGACATGTCTTCTGTGATTTGTTCTGTTAAACTTTAGGTCTATAAAGTTAATTTAAACCAGGGGGGCCTGCAGTTTCTGTTTTATCTGGTTCAGGTGTGTTTTTTTACTCTGCAGGAGCAAGGTTGGATAACTCTGATTTGATTAACCAAATTTACAAAGTCATGCCCCTTCATTAAATATTTTTAGGCATATAAAAGCATGTTCCCATGGTAATGACAAAGTTTTTTTTTTTTTTTTTTTTGGACTGCAAAGTTATGAAGACCATGGCATTAGCATAGTTTAAACAATATGTTGATTTAACTTTTATGTGAATTACTAAGGTAAATTACACGTTTTATTTAAAAACTCAAGCCTTACAAATTCAATAGAAAAAAAAGCTTTATGAAAATATATTTACTCTCTGTTTTATGGCTCCAAAATAAGTTTCTTAGATTAATGTTACCCACAGGGCTTTTACTAATAAATTATTAGCAAAAAAAAAAAAAAAAACTACAGAATATAGATAAACATGGTCAAATATTTATGAAACTAAATGTGACATACAGTAGTTAATTTGTCACCCATCGAAACTTATATACTTGTGCTGTATGAGGTCTTCATTTGCAAACTTGACCAACATTTTTTAGAACGAAATGTGTAAGTCTCTTTAATTATAGTATTTTCTTCTTTTTTAGATTCATATTTTTTTAATTGTTATTATGATAGTAAAGTAAATTTATGTTAAATTTATTAAATTAATGTTGGGGAGAGAGAGACAACCTCCACCATCAACAGTCAAACTATGAGTACACTTTTTTGACTGTGTATCTGTCTATCTGTGCCTACAGTACATGAGTGTAATGTGTGTTCTAGAACAGTGGTTCTCAAACTGTGGTACGTGTACCACTAGTGGTACGCGGGCTTCCTTCTAGTGGTTCACGGAGGAATGAAATATGTCATGTACATCCTACATATATTTCAAAATTTATTAAAAATGATTTATATATTATGCCATATATGACATATAGTCTATATTTCTGAGGTAATCTTATTTCAGTTTTTAAGTTGAGAGAGCAAATCTGCAGAATAAAGACGTTTACTAATGAATAAAAGAAAAAAACACACATTTGTTAAAATTGAGCATGTTAATCAAGCATATCAACTTCAACCACCCTTGTGGTGTCCAAACTTTTTTAGAAGCTTGTTAATACTGTTATTAGCCATTCGTGCTATACAAAAAAAAAAACAAGAAATGTGAAAACAAGTTAAGCTAAAACAAAATTAGCATATTTTGCTATACCACAGACTCATACCTTAAAAGCAAATGAGCCAAAATCAGTAAAAAAAAAACTATTCTAAAAACCCATAAATGGAACCTATTTAAAATTTGAGCCTTTCTGCTGAGTAAATTAGCATAATGACTGAACAGCCATTTGTCTGAGTTTATGTTCTTTATATCCTCATAAAAATCTGAGATAACCATGATAAACCTATTATCTAAACTCAACATTTCAGTCATACAATACTTTCAGCAAAGAGCTGCTTTGAAACAGAGCATATTCTTTTTACACGCATCACTGCGTCTCTTATAGAGAAAGAACATCATCTCAATCCTTTTAAGCCGAAAGACAGGGAGAAAAAAAATTAGACATGTTTCAATACATCTGTCCTCATCAGTGCAGTATAGAGGACATTTGTAGGTTAAATAGTGAAATACTGAATAAATCAAGAAAAAAAGCAGCACATATATGTTTTTTCAGGGGATGCTTACACATTAAATAGGTACATATTAAAAGTTTTACCTTTAAAAAAAATTATAAAAATGATCTCTGTGCACATGGATCTGCAAAAGTGACAAAAAACTGCATTATGTACGCCAGACCAGTAGGTGGCTTTTATAGAGGAACACTACACATACATAGGTAATATTCAATTCAATTCATCTATATTTCTATAGCGCTTTTACAATGTAGATTGTGTCAAAGCAGCTTCACATAGAAGATTATAGTGAATAGGAATAGTGTCAGTTCAAGTTTAAGTTCAGTTCAGTTCAGTTCAGTTTAGTTCAGCTCAGCGTGGTTTAGTATTCACTGCTGACAGTCCAAACACTGAAGATCAAATCCATCGATACGCAATCAATGTAATATAAAAATAAACCGTTACCAGTTGAAAATCAATTTAAAAATATGATTATTCAAAGTGACTGAGAGGCCAAACAGATCGTGAAATAAGCAGGGGAATCTCTGATGGAAACATGATTAAAATACAGTGGTTGCCTTTAATTTTAGAAAAAGCAAAGGCAAAACTTACTTTGCTTCTAAGAAGATTATTTTATTTGTATAACTTATTCATATGATTAGTTATTTTTTCAATTCAATTTAGTTTTGTAAAATTTCAACTTCACAAAGAAATGTGCAGCAAAACCATTTTGTAAAAAACAACCATATGAAATATTTGAATCTTCAGTTCAGTGAATCATTATATCTCCACATGCACATATACTGTATGGCTGTGTGGTTGTCCAATATTTGGTTTCTCCAGTACTTTAAAATGCCTACATGCCAGACATGTTATATGGACGTGTAAGAAAAAATGTATTAAGTAGTTAAAAGTGCATAAGTATTCGGTTTTAGGTTAACAATTATGTTCTGCAAATGTCCCCTCAGTGCATATCCTTATCCAAAATTTAATAGAAGTTTAAATTGTTAATTGTTTAGTGTTCCAGTTTTGTTACCACTAGATTTGCATTTATTAATTTAACAGATGTTTTTATGCAAAGTGATTTACAAACTAGATTGTTATAGAATATGTATTTTTTAATCAGCTAAACAAATTGCCAACTTATTTTTAATAGAGACTTATAAAGAATAAAGAAGATATCATGGCCACAATTTAAGGTGACTTATTATGCCACTTTTTATAAGATGTAAAATAAGGCCCAACCTCAATTCTACCCCTTAGCCCTTCTCCTTATCCCCTAATTGGTGTCCCAAATCTCTTTAGCTTGAAGACGTAGTGCTAAGGGGAAGGGATAGATACCTCGTGAAACAGAGATTTTTCAGGACCACACTCGAAAGCAAGGGGTAAGAAAATTTCCCAGAATACACCAGCCACAATGGCAGCATGGCAGTGATTTCTTGAAGACAAATACCAAAAAAATAACACAACTGGAATAACAGCAGTCGCCATTGTCGATCTCATATGTATAAAGAGATCGCGATGGCATATGATGACGTGTGCAGGTGTGAAAATTTTGAAGCCCTTCCCCTTCTCACTCTGTTTCAAGGGTCAAGAGAAAAGGGAAGGGGTAGGGGTACAAAAATAGAATTGGGATTTGGCCTAAGTCTTAGATGTCTCTAGTGTATATGTAAAGTTTCAGCTCAAATAACCACACAATAATGTTTTAAAACTCTTTGAAACTGCCACTTTCAGGCTGTGGTACAAATTGTCTCATTTTTTGGTGACTTTCACTTTAAATTCAAATGAGATTGTGCTCTTGTCCTCTTTTCAAAAGAGGGAGAGGATCTTAACGCCTATGTGTCATCATAGCAGAAGTTTCAAATCTTGGCGGATGACTGCTTCTCACTCAGGGGTGTGTATGCTAATGAGTGACAGATCATCACTAGTGGGCGGGGCTTCCGCCCTCTCATGACACATAGAAAGGGAGAATGTCAATCAAAGTGTCTCTGCAGAATGTTTTTTATCAGGTGTGATTATAAAAAATATAATTAATTCTTTTTTTACCATAAAAGGCTATATTCAAACACTGTTGCCACACAATAAAAGCGATTTTTGCATAATATGCCCCCTTTAAGAAGTCTTTTATGTGCAATATATTTGCCACAATCCCTAAGTTTTTGTTTCATTAAATCAAAAAGGAGGCAGTGCAAATCAAAGCTTTTATTTAACATAATCCCTTAGCCCAAATAGTGTAAACATTATTGTTTTCTTCATTTGGAATGATATGCACATATATCATTACCAATAATGTCAGAAAAGCACATTACAAAAAAGCCAATAACTCAAATAACCACTTATATTTTAGCCAGCAGTAACTGATGTTGTTATTGAACAGTATGAGATGCTGTAAAGAACAAACAGCTACTGTATAGTCCAACGTTCAGTTAAATGAATTGTCATCCTTGGCTTATACTGTACATGATTCACAACTGTTATCTTTTGCGCTTACGTCTGGAAGAACACGTGAGGGAACAGATGCCGATGAAGTGATAATAACAGCGGGCCGATTCGCTAATGAAGAGAGAGGAAGCAGGCGCAGTCATGGTCTGATGGGGAACGGGACTGAATGCTCTGTGCTGGCTGGGACAATAGTGAATGAAGCAGATCTGATGTTCCTCCAGAGAGGACAGACTTCTGAGACAAAGAGCATATCTTCATTCTGTCTACCTCTGACATTCAAATGCTTTGACCAGTGATCGGAAATCAGTGGCTCTTCAACAAAAATTGTGTTTTTTCACAGATTTTTTACCACTCATCAGCATCAGTGATCGTTAAAAATGTATAGACATAGCACTAGAGATGAAATTCTCTCAGGAAACAAAAAAAAGTCAAGCATAATTTATTTGTTGTAATGCCAAATGAGGCTAATGAAAAATGTGTTTACAATAATATTTCAATTTGTTGAGCATGGTGTGCATGACTCCACTCAACAGTGGTGTTCATTGATTAATCAATCTGCATTTCTGAACAAATTGAATGGGTCAATGATTGGTTCAGCAATAAAACTGTGACTTATTTCATACCAG